ATACATTCATTGGTTTGGTATAAGCTTATGGCCGGACAAATTGAAACTTGAATAATTAGAATGAAAACTTCAAAACTTTATATTATATTTAAACTTTATATATCTAATAGATCTGACAAAAGATACATAGCTTTTTGAGAAAATAGCTCTGTCTTTATTATTTTTACTTATAATATTTTCCATTTTTCATGCAAAAATTTCTGAGGTAAAATTTAATAAACACCACATTAAAAAGGGCTAAATCAGAGATAACTATTGAAAGTCCACAATTGTAAAAAAACAAAGGAGAAAATTCATAATGCATATTCAAAATAGAATGCATATTGAAAAGAAAACTTTCATAAACGCTCACCAGGAGTAATAAGCATTCACTGGCAGTGAATTTAATATGGCCCTACTCGTTGGTGTAAGCCCGGGACAGGGGACTTGTGGGGGTATTCTAAATGTTATCGAAAAATGAGATATTTGGCAGATCGGATGGTGAAAAAAAAATTGCGAAAGGGATGTTTGGTTTATCTGAGTTTCGAATTTCCAATGAACAAATAGCATTTGCCATTGATTGGAATCATGCATTGAAAAATATTGCAGCATGTTAGGCTGGGGGTTCATTCTATTTGGCGGGGCTTTCACCATATTGGAATCCAATGTGGGGGGTTTATTCGTGGCTTTACTGTTCATGAAAAACCAAGAGCCAATGTTAACAAATGACTGTTGAATGTAGAATATTTTAAGAAAATGTTTCATATTTGATATTTTCAGGAAATATTTCATATTTTGAAGGATGTCTTCAAAGAGATGTATTTTTTGAATGTTTACCTACAGAGTTGTTAACTTTTTAAATGTGATACTGGTTGAGGGGATGCTGATGAAAATTAGACTCCAACATGCATTAGCCTAAATGTTTTTAAAACTGGATAACTCGGTTGAATAAATAAGCACAATGCTTATCGTGTGTGTCAGAGGTTTGGGCAACGAGATTGGTAAATTTGGTAGCTTTTAAAAAAGCTGTTTGTTTTCTGGTTGTAGACGACGAGCGAAGATTGTCGTGTTCGTGCGTCCAGCAGTTTACTTGCTGCTTGTGTACTTGGTGACGGCTTTGGTGCCCTCGCTGACAGCATGCTTGGCAAGTTCACCGGGGAGGAGAAGCCTGACGGCAGTCTGGATTTCCCTCGAAGTGATCGTTGCCTTCTTGTTGTAGTGGGCGAGACGCGAGGCTTCTTGAGCAATCCTTTCGAAGATGTCGTTGACAAACGAGTTCATGATGCTCATGGCCTTGCTTGAAACGCCGGTATCGGGATGGACTTGCTTAAGTACTTTGTAGATGTAAATCGAGTAGCTCTCCTTGCGCTTTTTCGACCTCTTCTTATCTCCAGAGGCAGCCTTGCCCCCTTTCTTGCCAACTCCTGCTTTCTTCTCCCCCTTCTTGGCAACCTTTGGGGCCTGTTTTCCTCCTTTTGCTGGGGCGTCAGACATCTTGAAGAATGATTTTAAATTTGACTTTTCGAATTTCGAAAGGACCTTCGCTAGATAAAGCAGCAACACTGACTGTGACTGATCTAGTCTGTTGTTGGTTGGCGCCAATGCAAGTTTTTACTATATTTGTGGGCAACTGGGTCGATTAGCTCGAAGGCCATGTGACACACGTCGATTCGCTGTCTCGTGTTCGCTTATTGTTCGCGGTCGATAGCGGGGGTGTTGATTGGTAGATCTCGAGTAAATGCCCTTTACAAATCGACCACTTTGGCGGGCAATCAGGCAGTTGCGAACAAAGTTGTTCATTCTACGGCAAGGCTTCATTTCGTTTTTCAATTTGAGTTAAACATGTCTGGACGCGGAAAAGGTGGAAAAGCTAAGGCCAAGGCAAGGTCGAGGACATCCAGAGCTGGTCTTCAGTTCCCAGTCGGACGTATCCATAGATTGTTGAGAAAGGGAAACTACGCTGAACGAGTTGGATCGGGGGCTCCCGTCTATCTTGCAGCCGTACTCGAGTATCTCTCGGCAGAAATCTTGGAGTTGGCTGGCAATGCCGCCAGGGACAACAAGAAGTCAAGAATCATCCCTCGACACTTGCAGCTTGCAATCAGAAACGACGAGGAGCTGAACAAATTGCTGAGTGGAGTGACCATTGCTCAAGGTGGTGTCCTGCCCAACATTCAGGCAGTACTCTTACCAAAGAAGACCGAGCAGAAGGCTCCAAAATCATAAAGCCTGGCTGGCTAGTGTTGTTGGCTGGCTTTACCAGTTCGTCGAACGAAAAACGGTTTTTTTAAAAACCACCACGAAAACTAACTTGGTGTACCTGCTTGTGACACACACGATACCTACCCACACCACACACTCTATATTGTTTATAGTATAGGCCCACTGCATTATGATGCTTTGAATTCATTCAAAGCTACTCACTGTTTAAGCAAGTAGTTTTAATCATTTTATCAATTAGTTTATGTTTCTTTTCGAGTGGTGGTAGGGGTACACTAGCATCTCAATTAATCATGCTCAACAGATGAGCACAAAGAAACCATACCAAACATTCAATAACAATAATCAAGCAGTCAATCAATTGAACCAGCAGCAAGTAATCAATCTAGGGTTGATTGGTCCTAAGAAGCTATCCTTAAACAGGCTATCCTTACACAGTTGAACCAAGATGCAAGCAACAATTGATCAAGGTGAAACAACTTTTATTTAAGGGCAAATAATTATGGTTGAAAATGAAAATGAATAGACAGAAAAGGAATTATTTTCTTCAATTGATCAAGGTGAAACAACTGTTATTTAAGGGCAAATAATTATAGTTGAAAATAAAAAAAGAATAGACAGAAAAGGAATTAATTTCTCAATTGATCAAGGTGGAACAACTTTTATTTAGGGGCAAATAATTATGGTTGAAAATAAAATAAGAATAGACAGAAAAGGAATTATTTTCTTCAATTGATCAAGGTGAAACAACTTTTATTTAAGGGCAAATAATCAAAGTTGAAAATAAAAAAGAATAGACAGAATTGGAATTCTTTTCTTGGCCTGTTGGTAATCTTCCTGGTTATATTTCTTGCTGATGGTCATTAAAACTGAATTGACCAAAGGGCTGGGCTATTTGTTGATGGTAGTAAGGTGAAGATGTATGAATCTTTTGCTTGGTTTTTTAATGATGATAATGTATCTCATATGTCAACATTTGTCAATGATCCACAAACACAACAATTATGAGAGAGGGATATGCACATTACTACTGTATGTCAAGTCAACGAGGGGTTCATCATCTATTTGTGTTCATGAAATGGAGATGTTTGGAGCCTACCTTTCTGGTGAGGACATCTTGTAGACTTATTATTATTAATTTGGAGATGAGTTTGTTGGCATGCTCTTTCAAAAATCAACTTGATTGAGCTAGCTGCATCAATAGCATTTTACAAAGTCCTATTATTATTTAGTAAACATATTCCTGTTGGACTTCAGTGCATTTTTGTGCGACTTGACATTATACCGGTCGATTTATTTAGTGGGATATTAATTTATTGATTCAGTACATTCAATTATGACTCGCTGTTAATCGTGTGCTGTCACAAGGCTTAAAACATTGGGCAACTTTGGCATTTTTGGTAGCTTTTAAAAAAGCTGTTTGTGTTGTTGGTGAGGACGAGTCACTCCAGTTGTCTATCCTGTAAACAGGACGACGCAACTTAACCGCCAAATCCGTACAGTGTTCGACCCTGTCTCTTCAAAGCGTAGACGACATCCATGGCAGTGACAGTCTTTCGCTTGGCATGTTCTGTGTACGTGACTGCATCGCGAATGACGTTCTCGAGGAAAACCTTGAGAACACCTCGTGTCTCTTCGTAAATGAGGCCAGAGATTCTCTTTACTCCTCCACGACGAGCCAATCGGCGAATGGCTGGCTTGGTGATGCCTTGAATGTTGTCACGAAGAATCTTTCGATGACGTTTAGCACCTCCTTTGCCAAGACCCTTTCCTCCTTTTCCTCTTCCAGACATGATTGTTGAAAGTTGTGTTGTACGACAGCGAGCGACAATGCACGAGGCGACTGATTTCAATCTGACTCAACCGGCAAATACATACAGGAGCAACTGCGGACCTATTAGGAGCACTCTCTTTATACTTCCATCTTTCTTGATGGCGCCTTTACTGCATAAGCAAACTATGTCCTAGCAGAGAAGGCGAGGGAAGGTACACTTACAAGACAATTTGCCTCTTGAAATATGTCAATTCAGTGTTTTATTTGACTGACTGCCAAAGAGAACTGGAAAACAGCCACTAAAAACAAACATTATTTACGTAAACTCTTGCTATTGTTGCCATCAACCAGGATAACAAACCTCCCCAAGTCAAAGAGACAGGAATTTGCAATTGCTTGAATCCCTTTGAATTTGCTTTTTCTGCTTCCCTTTAGTTTTAAGAAATGGTATTAATCTTGTTCAGAAGATGCAATTGCAGCTCGCTCGAAACTTGGGATAATAAAGCAGCCAATGGGCGATGCATTCTTTGTCATTTCGCTTCTCCCGGCATGTCACGTGGCTTGCTCAAACATTTCAAATTGACCTCAAATGGCGCCGATTCGCAGATTGATTCGTTGCTCCTAGCTGGAAGGTAGTACCGTCATCGCTCAGTCACCTTATTTCGTTCGCCCTTATTGAAATTTCTTCGTAGTGTCAAAATGGCTCGTACAAAGCAAACTGCAAGGAAATCAACTGGAGGAAAAGCTCCTCGCAAACAACTGGCCACCAAGGCTGCACGAAAGAGTGCCCCAGCAACTGGAGGTGTAAAAAAGCCACACAGATACAGGCCCGGAACAGTTGCTCTGAGAGAAATTCGTAGATACCAGAAGTCGACCGAGTTGTTGATCAGGAAGCTGCCCTTCCAAAGGCTCGTCCGAGAAATTGCCCAAGACTTCAAGACAGATCTGCGCTTTCAGAGCTCGGCGGTGATGGCCCTCCAAGAGGCATCTGAAGCTTACCTAGTTGGACTGTTTGAAGACACCAACTTGTGCGCCATTCATGCCAAACGTGTTACCATTATGTCAAAGGACATACAACTGGCCAGAAGGATTCGTGGAGAGAGAGCTTAATTCAACAAGCAAATTTCATCTTTGTCGATGAATTCTTTGAAAAAAACGGTTTTTTTAAAAACCACCATAGACACCAGAGATTATATTTCCCCAACCATAATACACACGACATGGTCGACTCAGATCAGTTCAGTTCATATCTACATGTACTTTTAAAACTAACATGTAATATTAAGTTACATTGGTACATGCAAATAAATTACATTAGTAGTTTACTTACAAATAATTTACATTTACAAATAATTTAATCTACTGGTAGTTACGTTGTCACAAACTACCAGTAGTTAGTTGGTCATGTACTCTGTAGAATGGGAAAAATGAATCACTTTTTTATAGTGCTAGACTGAATTCAAGAGCATACAATTTATATCATGTGCACAATATTTTCAATTTGTGCTAAGCCCACAATGTAATACATATGTATGTATTTAAAATGTTGAGGTCACAATAAATATGACATATCATTTACTCTATCTTATTCTGAATTTAAAAACCATTAGGAATTATTATACAACTGCTGGCAAATTTATTTCATGACAATCTTTTTAGTCACCAAATATATGGTTTTTTCAGTCTTACCAAAATACCCCAATTTATTGTGGGTTTGCCCCAAATGTTCAGCCACTGCAAGTGTCAGTATTGGATTTCAACATGTGTAAGGGAAAAACATTAGTTATAAAGTATCATTTGCTCATTTCCAGGCAATTTTTATTACAGTGTGCCAATCATAGAAATCTTAGCTACATCAACCATTAAATGTTTACATTGTATGACACACTCCTATACTCTCTACTTGATTCATATCACAATCAACCTCAAAATTTCAGCAATTTAGGGCACTGAACATATTGCTTGTATTCAAAAAATAAACTCTGATTGTAAAAGTAAGCTTTAAAATTTTCTTCAAAAGCAACCCAACAGGTAACCACAAGCTGGCTTCACAAGAATAGACTAAATCTTCAATCAACATGCTTATGATTAAGGTCATTACCCATCAAGAACCCCTTCTGTCTAACAATTCTTGATATAAGTTTGGCTGCAAAGAGGGCAATTGTTATTTCAGTTTTAATTTCTCTAGACAGTGTAAGATAAGATGATAAATTCGATTTCTGCTAACCTACATGATACTGTGTATTTTCAACTTTGTTCTCAATATAATTTACTAATAATGAAATGATGAATCCTTAGATCTACTTTGTAAATATTGAAGCTTGCATACTTCATCACCAAAAATATTTGATATATTCATGTGTTGTCTTTATTCTTTTTTATGCTGATCATAGTCACATAGCACATCAAGGACCTATACTGTCAAACTAGTCTTGAAATTTCTTTGGATGTAAACTGGCAATTGTTATTACAATTGGCATTCTTAAAAGCTACTAATAATACTGTAAAAATATGAGTTGCTCCAGACTTTGCAGAAAAAATGTGTATCTTCTGCTAATTTTATGATAGTGTACAGTGGCAATTGTGCTTTCAAAATAGTTTACTATGCACATAACTTTAGCTGAAATGATAAATCCTGCTACCTATTTTGTAAATCATTTTGATGAAGGTACATCATAAAGAAAAAAGTGACAAATGCAGGTGACTGTGGGCCCACCAGCCTTGAAAACTCTACATTTAATTTCATGATATCAATGCAGCCGTCAAGGCTAATCAGAACCGATGACCGACTTTTTGGTAGCTTTTAAAAAAGCTGTTTGTTTAATTGGTAAACCAGGTGGTAAGTGGGAATCATGGCCCTCCTCCACTGATGCCATCTACTTCTTTGACTTTGCAGCCTTTACTTTCTTCCCAGCCGGTGACTTTGCTGTCTTTTTTGCTAGCAGCCTTTTTGGGTTTGCTCTTACCAGCAGCTGATGCTTCTTACCAGCAGCTACTTTAGGTTCTTTGCCACTTTGGCCTTGGGCTTCTTTGGTGACTTTTGGCTCCGCTGGCTTTCTTTGGTGTCGAGGCCTTCTTTTTTGCAGGGCTTTTCTTGACTGAAGTTGCAGCCTTCTTAGCAGTAGCCT